TCATCTAAAAAGTATGACCCGAGAAATCCTATGTTGGCGTATGGTTCTTATGGAGAGTTGAGTTAATATGAACTCATGTCCCCAATTCGGTGCTCAATACTACTCCCAAAAATACTTTAGCTCATAAGTGTCTTTAAACACATCTTGCTTTAGTTGAGGTAATTATTCAAAACTTAGCCCAAAGGTACTTTTGGAAAACATGGTTCCCCTCTTACTCAAATGTAAAAACATTTATAAACTCCTTTGGGAATACTTAGTTTCCTAATAGCCTTTTGAGAAATGAACTCAACTTTAAACTCTTGACTTAACTTGAAACTTGAGACTCTTACTTAGCTTGAAAATCAATACTCTTTTACTTGACTTGAAACTCTATACCCTTTTACTTGACTTGAAACTTGAGTCTTCAAATGAAGTTAAAACGTTCACTAAAGACTCTTGACCAACTTTATAAAAAACTTGCTTTGACTTATTTAACTTCTAAGCTTGGCTCTAACTTCACTTGACTTCTAACTTCACTTGACTTGGAAACTAACTCTCCTTGAATCGGATTATGAATTCAAGGTGTTTGATCACATGTTATGGATGAGTTTGGGATGTTAAGATGTACCTTAAAGTATTGGAAACAACTATAAAACATAGGTACTTAACCAAGGAACATGTATGAAAAAGTGGGGAATGAAAGGTAAATGGAAGGATTGGCGTCCTTGGTGCTCTAAGAGGTGCGGGGCGCCAGCCCTCAAACTTCAGAGGGGCCTGCTGGGCGTTCTGCCCTAAGGGGAAAGTTCAGCGTCCCTTTTTGGGGTGCGCTGGCTGGCGCGACAGCCTAATCCTTTTCCCCAAAAAATCTGACTTTTTCCCCTTGTTTCTTCCCAACTCTAAACCCTCTCAACCTCAAAGGTTCTAGCAGCAAAATCACAACTTAATCATGTCCCAAATCAATAAGGAACTTCAACACCACAATCAACAACACAACCAACAACTTCAACAACACAACCAATCTTATCTTGAAAATAAAACGAATTTGGAGTGTGGGGGAAAGGACCAACCCCAACACTAAGGATCATAAAATCCCTCAACATACAAGAGATTCAACTAAAAAACACAACCAAATCATGTCCCAAATCAACAAGGAACTTCAACACCACAATCAACAACACAACCAACAACTTCAACAACACAAACAATCATTTTCGAAATTAAAAATGAGTTTGGAGTGTAGGGGAAAGGACCAACCCCAACACTAAGAACTCACATACCTAGTAGGGATCACCCCTGACGATATCCACGATGATTTCCTTGCTTGATCTTCCCTTTCTCCTCTTCTTCTTCTCTTCTTTCTCTCTTATCTCCCAAGCCCTAACTCACACTCTTTTAAAATGGGACAAACTGATCTAAAAATCAGTCTAACACAACAATATAACCAAAATAATTGGTTAGGAAAAAGACCAAAATACCCTTAAAATTTCTGGACGGATTTCTCTGCCAATTGCCTAACTTCCAGAGGGCATAACTCCCTCATACGAACTCAAAATCGAGCAAACTCGGTGGTGTTGGAAAGATCATTCCACAAGCTTCGCAAACATAATTGGAACTACTACTAAATCATCCTGATCTAGGAGTTATGACTGCTCAAAGTTGGCCAAAAACTCACTTTTTCCACACTTCACCAAATTTCCAGATTCTAAACTTAGCCAAATTTCCAAATTCTGAATTTTTCCAAAAATGACTACTTCCAATTTCAAGCTTCTTCATATTCATTTTAAATTGTCAGATGTTACATCATCAATCTTGACTTAACCAACACATGAAGCATGTCCCATATGATCACAACAACATATATTAGTTCACTCATGGAACTCATACCCAAACTGTTAGTGTACTAGCATGGTACCCGAGTTAACCATAGTTAATGTACCGATATGGTATCCAAGTCAACTATCAATCACAAACAATTTGCACAATCACAATCACAATGAACAATCACACTTGAAGCCACAAATAAATTAACAGGTTCATATGAGATTTAGTAACAAGATATCATTTTATATTCACCCCTTATGGGTTTTCTGCATATATTGCACAAGTAATAGTATAAAGTAGTTAACATGAAAATATTACATGCATTGGAAATAAACAACAATTACCTACCTCGAATCAAGTCATGAAAACTCTAAAGAATTCAAGCTTTCCCCTATTGCAAGACCTTGACTTGTTCTTGATAAAAAATAATAATAAATACAACAATCAATAACGAATGACCTAATAACACCCGAATTATACTCAAATCTTAACCCTAGGACAAATTCATGATCATTATACCCAATCAAGACCTTTCCCACCATAATTCCAAGTTAAAACCCTCACATAAAGTTGACCACCATTGCTCTAGGGTTTAAGAATCAATTTACATGTTAAGAGTGTAATTAACTTACCTTTATAGAAGAGAATGATGAAAATGCCCTAGGTCGATTTTGGGACTTTTCTGCACAAAAATCTGACTAAGTCCACTATAATGGCCCAACCTGATAAAGCAACCCACATGCTACAGCGGAAATTAATTTATCCTGCTATTGCGGTATGACACTTGCTATAGCGGCTTGTATGGAGGCAGAAACTCATAAATCCTCCCCAGTTACTTTATTTCGCAACAGACCTTCAAACCTTGACGTTCTATACTACCCCTTCACTCCAAGTTTGATATTGAGAGTTCCATTTACCCGAATTTGATTTCGAAAGGCCTTATGGGGTTCCTTAATGTCTTAAGTACTAGAAAACATGATCTAAGCTTAGACATTATCCCCAATCCCTTCCCCGATATCCCTAGACCCCACATTGCTAAGATTTCAACTGAGACTGGCCTAACCTAAGATTTTTAAGTTACTACTCAAAAAGTTTTCTGATCCAAATCTTTCATCATTGGTCTACTTATAATGATCGAAAGGGGTCATTACAAAAAATATTTAATTTGGATCCCAAAATTAAGGGGTAATTAACTAATTTGAACTTATCCATGTAGTTATGCGCTTTTTGAATTGAAATCCATTTTCTGAAATTAAAAATCTTGGTTTTGATACTTTGATGGTCACTGAAATTCTTTTGATGAATTATGTTGAACAAATATCAATCTAATCTGATTGATCGTAAAGCCTATAACAATAGAACCGAAAAAAGTATACAAAAGACAATTTTTTCTATTGTAATTACTAGTATTTTATATTTGTATTATATTAATATCAGCGTATATTCGTATCAATGTGATTTTCATTATTGATGAAATTTTTTATTTGGAGAATAGACTGGTGATCTCCTTATATGGACTTGGACAATCCTCCCTCTAGAGTTAGTTTTTGAGGTTGAGTTAGACTCATGCGTAATATCTTTACATGGTATCATAGTCACCAGGTCCATTTCCGTTTGGGCTCTCGATACACGCTCAAATCAGGCCTGGATGTGAAGGGGAGTGATAGAGTAGGTCAAAGCTTCACATTGATTGGAGAATGGACTGATGATCTCCTTATATGGACTTAAGTAACCTTCCTCTCTGTTGAGTTAAGCCTAAATACTATATCTTCACGGCTACAAACTGTTCCAACTAAGCCGATATATGAAAGTCTCTTTATTACACTTTATATATACACTCTAATATAGGGGTGTACAAAATCGAAGCGAAAACCGAGTCAAATCGAAAAAAAAACCTGACTAGTGATTTGGTTTGACTTGGTTTGGTATTGGAAAAAAAAACCCGACTATATTTGGGAGTCAAACCAAAAAAAAACCCGACTAGTGGTTTGGTTTGACTTGGTTTGGTATTGGAAAAAAAATCTGACTATATTTGGGTTGGTTTGGTTTTAACTAAAAAAACCAACCCGAGACCAAACCAACCCGACATTATATATGTAATTTTAAAATTTTATTTTATACATAAAAATATTTACTTTGATATAATTTTAAAATATTTCTTATGCTATTTCATAGTTTTTATCTTTTAATGTATTATTTCAAGTTTAAAATTTAGAATTCGGAATGGTCCAATAAAGATTATAGTTCATAGATGTTGATACTTATAATAAAACTTAAATCAAAATCAAATTAATACTAATGCAAAAAGAAAATCAATTCAACATTGGTTTAGACAATTAAATACATAATCTAATTTTAATTTTCCTTAAATATCTAGTAATGTAACTAATACCTATTAAACTTATTTTAACATGATTTAGTACTTTTAAATTATGATCATTTTCATTATGACTTTGCAATATTTATTTTATACGATGATTTCATTATTATTTTTTATTGAATATTTTAGTGTCATCAGTACTCATCTCATATTTTGTGTTATTTTCTTAAGAAACATCTTAGATAATTGTATTTTGGTTGGACTAAAGAAATATTTGGAGCATAAGTTAATTATATGTTTGTATGCAAACTTAAACGAGAAAATCCAAAAATCTGGAAAAAAAAATCCGAGGTTTATTAGTTTGGTTTGATTTATAAATTTAAAAATTCGACACAATGGTTTGGTTTGGTATTTGAAAAATCCAAACCAACCCTAGGTTGAAAAACCCAAAAAAATCCGAATTTTATTAGTTTGATTTGGCTTATAAATTAATTTTTTTTACACAAATGGTTTGGTTTGATATTTGAAAAACCCGAACCAACCCGGTAATGTACACCCCTACTCTAATAAATATAATTAAATTATTTTTTCTCAAATATCTCATTTAAAAGGTAGAGGGGCAATAACGTCATTTGGAGACACTTGGGCACCATCGATGAAGCCATAGAGATGAAACCTAACGTAGTATTTTGATGAAACATGCCATGCCATGCAATCTCCAAACATTGCCTATACTTATAGGGGCCCTAATGTAGTTTCTTCCCCTTTAACACGTGTCAACATCTCAAACCATCTACCAAATATGACCACATATTTTGTTTGCCAAATGACATTAGTTATTTACTGTGTAACATACATTTTCCAACTCCAGTCAACTCACATTCCCACTACTCAATCAATTGAACAAATCACAAAAGAGAAAAAAAAAACCCAATGAAGGTACAAATTTCAAAAATTCAATTATAGTGTGTTCTTTCTTCTTTTCTTATCCATTGTTCTATTAGAGTACTTCTTATAATAACTTCTATTTGTTGCACTTTTTTTCTTGTATTTTTAGATCTTCAATTGGGTGCATCGCAAATTTCATCAAAAAGGTGATGCTATATTAGCCACGAATTTCATCGCTAATTTATAATTAGCAGTTCATGACCTACATAATTTATCTGTCGCTAATTCCTGTGTTTTATATTTGGCAGATGGGAGGAAAGATATTGATGAACTAAAGATTAGCAATGAAATTATTGGTCATCATGACACACAAATTCTTCTTCAAGATGCCTCATTTGCACATATGTTAGACATTTGGAATGGAGGACTACTTACAATTGGCACATTTGGATTTGATCCACTCATGAAAAATGTTCAAGATCAACAAAGTGTCATAGACATTGAATCCCTAGAGGAAGAGGAAGAATTAGAAGAAGAAGAATACTATTCAGTGGAAAATGAAATTCAAGAATGTGAAATTCCATTTAATGATCATGAGGGAATTAATGAAGAATTGTACCCTTTAATATATGCAAATATTGGAGATGAAATGATTTATAATGAGGACATTATTGAGTCAAACAACAACTCATCTACTGATCAGACCAATACTAAGATGATGAAAAAAGAAAGGATCACTCTAGCAGATTTGTTCTCTGCTGATTCTGATCATCATCACCGTAAGGCAGATCGTCGTTCTGCAAACAAAATTACAGAGTCAGACATTTTCACTAAAAAGTCTAATTCGTCTCCACAAGTCAAAAATGGACTTTCTTTCGCCAAAAAGCTCATTCCACGTGTCAAGGACGAGCCGATCCAAAAGCTACAAAAAGTAAGTCTAAAAGTATTTATATTTTTATTTACGTTTTTTTTTTTTATAATTGTGGTGTTCGATGTCACCTCCCACCAGCAACAGACAACAGGTAACTCCATGTTTTTTTGTCTCCCGCTGAGTTTTAACATGAGACTTTAGGGTTCTCAACGACTTGATTGACCACTAAGCCACATCTTTAAAGTAAATTTAACTTTCTTCCATCGAAAATATAAATTAAATTTTACAAACACTAACGTTATTAAAAAATAATTACTTTATCATATCAAATTACATTACAACAAAAACAACATTTGGCGGCAATAAATATAGACATTAATAAAGAGTGCTAAAGTTTTTACCCTCATTAGTTAAGTGTCATTAGAACCAATGTCGCAAAAGGCTTTAAGGACATGTACAAAGAGTGCTAATTGCCGCTAAAAATACATATTTAGCGGCAATTAAGCTATTGCCGTTAATTAATTACCGCTAATTAGGGGTGGGCATAAAAACCAGAAAACCAAAAAACCGAACCGAACTGAACTAATTCGGTTCTTCGGCTTTTCGATTCGGTGTCAGTGTTATTTTTTCGGAAGTTCGGTTCTTCAATTTGGTGTCTGTGTAAGGGTCTCAAAACTTTGGTGCACCGAAAAACAGAAATTTTTTAATTTTTTTTTTTTATATATATATGGTCATTCTCTTAACTAAAAATTAAAAATTCAATCAACAATTAAATCATTCATGAACAAATCAAAGTAACACCAAATGTACAATTCAATAGGTAACTTGAAATATTAATTTCCAAGAGAAACTCAAACATATTTCTACCAATGTACATTTACTTGTTTTTCTTGATAAATTGTTGGAGGCAGTTCTTGATAAAGACAAATATAGTCTTTTAGTTAGCACAATAGGTGTTCCACAGTAATACGCATCATTCCTTAACATAGTTTTAAATTTCCAAGTATCTTATACTTTATCCTTATTTTATTTTTCATTCACACCGAAAAACCAATTTAAAAACACCGAACCGAATTAGTTTGGTTTAATATACGGTGCACACTTTTCTAAAACCGAAAACCAAAAAACCGAACCGAAATTTGATAAAATCGAACCGAAGAACCGAACGCCTACCCCTACCGCTAATAATATTTTTGATGTAGTGTTAAAGGTAACTACATGTAATTATTGGCAAGCAAAACAACCTGGAAGAATGTTGTTAAAGTGGAATTCATAATTTAAAAGAGAGAATTCTTTTACATATAGTCAATATGTAAAAGTTAAATATTTTTCTTTTCTTTTCTTTTGCGTGCATGCAATGCAGGGGCGGAGTCACAATGCAAGTTACACGCTCTGTGCTCGTAACTCAGTAATTTTAGTTAAAACATTGTAGTATTTGTGTTAAAAGTTTCATTTAGTATACGTAAATAATGATTCAGAACAATTCATAAATTAAAAATTCTGACTCCGTTATTGTCTAATCAAATTTAATCAATTGTGATAAATTAAATGTTTTGTAGTTGATGACGAAAGTGTTGAAAAGGAAGGTTCATCCAGATATTGAAACCAAATTGGGCAAAAACAACAGTCAAGTGAAAGCAGGTAGCATGCTTGGTCTTTCATGCGTTAAACACGTCAGGGTTGAATCATCTGTTTCTCTTCTCCTAACTGATCAAGGTACGTACTATCCTTTTCAGACTCCACGAGTGAAATTATACTGAATATATTGTTATTATTGCATACATACTGAATGGTTTGATTTGGAATAACAAATAGTTTCGGGATAAATTGTAAAATTATTTTATCTCATATTTAATATAATTTTGGATTCCAAAATTCATAATAACTAATCTCAAGATAAAATAATATAATGACAAATATGTCCTTTCCCAAAGCTTTTCTCTCAAAGTTATTAATATTTACTGAGTAATAAAAATATATTCATTAGATTATTTTTATTCTGATTCGATTATTATAATTTTAAAATAACTTATTTCGAAATCAATTAATCTTTTGTTGCCCAATTTCCATGTAGCGCGACATGGTCAAACTGATAATACATAAAGTAACACATTTTTCGCTGTAAATCCTCCTTTCTTGTTTTCTTCTATCTGTTTCTTGGAATCTTTTTATTTATAGTACATTTTTCCCTTTTTTATGTTGTGCTAGACCAAAGGTTTAAAAATAGAGTTAGGCCCAATATTGATTTGACATGGTATTAAAGCCACACCTAAAGTGGGTCCTAGGAAATCGAATAGTTACCTGAGGTGGAAATTACAATTCGTATCCATGAATATGCACGCATTGGATCAAATAATGGAACCCTGAATAAAGAATGTCTAGCTTTAGGTGTGAGGGGATTATGAATGGAATGTCCCACATTTTTGAATGACATGGAATCTTGAGGTTCTTATAAGGCTTGGATAATCATTTTTTCTTTGAGCTAATTTTTGAGTTGTTAGTTACATCGAAGATCAAATTTAACAAATAACATATAAAGTGTTTTTTTTTCACTCAGTGTTCGAATTTCGTATTTGAGTCAGATTATATTTGGATCACGCATTGCATAATTCATTTTGGGGACAACACTACAATGATTGTTTGGTGGAGTAACAAATAAGTACTTATGGATCGTTTGGTCATTGGTTAGAGTTTTATAGTTATTAGTAATGTAGAATTTTGCAGAGTTTATTTATTATTTATTTTATTTTCACCTTGCATTAATAAAAATACATAAATTAATTCATACCTTACAATTATATAGAATTGTTAACTAAAAATTAAACAACATAGTTAACGTGCTAAGTTTTATACATAACAAATAAAAATGCTATCAAATATGATACTAAGTATATTAATTTAATACATAAATAATTAATTTCCTAACCATTAAGTAGTAACCTCTTAATTCTTTGTCAAAGGCTTATTTATGGGCTAGAAAGCTAGGTCTATGCTATAGTATAAAAATAAAAAAGATTTGACCCTAGTTTTAAGGCTATTTAATAGAACTTGAGTATTATTACGTGGCCGAGCTACGACTCCGGGCTCGAGGCTGGAGGTTGATTGGTGTCAGACTGAAAATCGTTGTGAGTGCACTTCAGCTAGAAACTGAGCTATTACGGGATTAAAAAGGGTCCCTCGTCTCCTTTTTAGACAATTCTTCTCTCATGAGTTATTTTTCAAGATTGATATAGTCCCAAGATCCATTTTCTTACGTGGTATTAGAGTCAGTCTCATCCCAATTCATTGTTTCTGATGTTGGGACACCCATATTATCTTGTCCACGCTTAAACTGTCCACTCTTGGGTGATGTGCGGGTGTTGGAGTCTTATATTAGTGGGATATGAGGTCTTCGGTCTCCTTATATGATCTTGAGCAATCCTCTCTTTATGAACTAGCTTTTGAGATTGCGTTAATCCAAGATTCATTTCGGTATTAGAGTCAGACCCATCCAATTCATTATTTCCTATGTTGGGTCCCCCATCTTAAATTGTCCATGCTCTAGAAATGTGCAGTCCTGAATGTGCGTGGGTGTTGGAGTCCCATATCGATGGATAAAGGGTCCTTAGTCCCCTTATATGATCTTCGATAATTTTTCTCTTATGAGCTAACTTTTTAGCATTTAGTTAGGTTCATGATTCATTTCTTTAATATCAGAATGCCATTTGATTTCCTATATTATTATCAATCTTTAATAACTGACTTTTTCTCTAACATACAAATTGTTTTCCATTCTCCAGCCAAACGTTGGAAAACATTTTACAGAAAAACAATTTTCGAAAATATTTATGTCATATCATATAATACTAGTACTTCTCTGTTTCTAAAGTTTCCAATCTTTCAATTTGGACTGCAGCTGATTACTCTCTAAGTTTTTGTCAGTAGTCTTTTAGTAGGAATATTTATTATCCTTATCTAAGAGGAAACGTTAAATATAACTATAGTACAAAAGGGATATATGGAGCTATGACGTAACTGATAAAGTTATTGTCATGTGACTAGAATGTCACAATTTTGAACTTTAGAAATAACCTCTTGTAGAAATGTAGGATAAAATTGCGTATAATAGACTTTTGTGGTCCAGTACTTCCCCATACTCCACGTATAAACACTTTTTTAATGATCATATATCTCCATTGCAATGATATATTTTTTATTTTTTTCCCCTCATTTTTGCAGATCTCACGGCCTAAGCTGACCTATTCCAATTCAATTACTTGCTTTCATTGGCTTGGGGATGAAATGAATGAATTAATAATGTTTGTAAGATTATTGTTTTAATTGTTTGTAAAATTTTCAATATTGTGAACAGCAAGATCATGTGATCCTGTTATTTTTCATGGCTTTTGGCCTGTGTCGTGTGTGACAAAAAGGTTTTAATATTGGTGTTGAATTTAGGGTTTGATTTTGACTGATTGTTTATTATTTGGAATTACCTTAAGTGTTTTCTTCTAGCTAATAATTAATCAGCAGTGATTATTATGCACTTTATAAAGAAAAGAGAAAGTTTAGCTACTTAATTAATTAAGAAAAAGGCACATCAAATTGAATGATTCTTATCCAAATTACAAATGACAATATCAATTTGTATTAGTTATTTCGAGTGATGATTGATGTTTGGACCATAACACAAGTAATGAAAGATATATTGGATAACAACTATTACTTGGCTTATAGTCCAAACATTGTTAGATATTTGTCTCTAATCTAAAATTTCAGTTGTCTTCCTCCCTTCGCTCTATAACTGAATAAAAGGACGAAAAGCCAATCTTTGGATTAAGGAAACAAACTGGCATGTTTAGAAATGAGACGTCATTTACGAGTTTCATGTTGAACAAAGTAAGATGAGAAAGACGCACAGAAGAAGTATACTTAACGCGTGAAGGATCCGTTGAGAGTTCTATTTTTCATATAGATCAATGGGTACACTAATCTCCGTGTGAGATTTCTTTTGTCATTTTCTTTTTACTCAATTTCTACTCATCAACTTGAAAAGAAATCTCTCGTCGTGTATTAAAGTTTCATAAGGTTAAATGTTTTTTTTAGTTAAATTATCTAGCTACTAACATTATTCGAGACCCACTCATTAGCAACTTTAGTCTAATGAGCCTCTTACTCAAGGCCCACTCCTATTGAGCCTCTTAAACCCTATCTCTCTCTCTCTCCTTAAACAAACAAATTATTAAGAAAAATCAAATTCTTATGTGGGGTTGTTAGATAATTTTGCCCTTGTCCTCCATCGATTATGTAAGAATTTTTAATGGAATTTAGTAATTTGAGGCAACTCGACTCATGTCTAAAGGTTTTAAATTAAGGGTGTGTTTGGTATGAAGGAAATATTTTCCATAAAAAATGTTTTTCTTGGAAAATAAGTTCGTTTCTAACTTATTTTCATATTTGGTTGGTGAGTGAAAAATATTTTTTTAATGTTTGGTTGGTGAATGAAAAATCATTTTCTAAAAAATATCTTTTATTTCTGGAGGGAGAGTAGAAAATATTTTTTAGAAAAATAGTTTTTGATTCGGAAACAATTCCGAATAATCGATCCAAGATCCTGCCCTGACACTGAACTAGGACACGACCCGACAATCGATTCGGAATCTAACCCTGGGATCTAACATATGACCTGACTCTAACTTTTAATCAACACTCAAGGTTCTACGCGTACCATAATCTTGGCTACAATGGATTTTCCCTACCTTAGGTTAAGCCCAAACCCTTCCCTAGGGTGACAACTACCAATTTTAATGCCTAAGAATCTCAATACCAAGTTAGGAAAGCAAGTTACATACCTTTACAAAAGATTTTTATGAAAAAATGATGAATTTCACCCTAGGTCGCCTCTGCACTCCTCCAAAATTACCCATTTCACAATGCACCTACAAACCTTGACGTTTCAGACCAATCCCTTCGCGTCAAATTCGATATCAGGAGTTTAATTTATCCGAATCCAATTCTTTAAAGTCACACAGACTCCTTAACGTCTTAGCTAAAAGGCAAACCAACTCTACTTAGACATTTCACCCAATCCCTTCTCAGAATTTCCCTAAACTCCATCTCGCTCAGATTTTGTTCAAGCTTAATCTAGTCTAAAATTTTCATCTCAGTACTCCAGAAGTTTTCTCGCCCTATTTGTTTTACGATTAGCTTACTTATAACAACAGAAAGGATCGTTACATCAATGCATTTTTATAAAGTGATATTTTTTATTAAATATCTATATGTATTAACCTGAGGAATTTAAGAGTTAGGGAAAGAAATAATCTATTTGTAAACTCATTAAATTTTTGTATGGACTAAAACAGACACCTAGATTGTCTGAAGCACTAATAAAGCTGGAGTTCAGATAAAGTGAATATGCTCACTCTCTGTTCATCATAAAGACATCACAAGAAATGACCATTATACTCATTTATTTAAAGAGTTTGTTATTTGCAATATACTCCTTCTGTCCCTAATTACTTGTTCACTTTTGAATTGACACACCTACTAAGAAAACAATTATTGACATAGTGAGTTTGCCATTTTATCTCTATTAATTATGAAGTAGATGAATTAAAAACTTAAATCATAATTGCATCTCAACAAATTATTTACCGATAATGAAATTTCAAACAAACAGGTCCGCATATTTTCATCAAACTAATTGATTAAACATGTCAATAAGATACAATCACTAAAGAATATGTGATAGTTTAAATTCATCAACAAGCAACCTATAGTTGTTGCCCTGCTACTAACTATTCGAGTAATTTCCTCTGAAACAACAAAAATGGAGCGGAAGGGCTGCCAATAACACAACTGTGACACTATAACCACCTTCTCCTACTTGATGCTATTAATTATACATCTCTCAAGGAACCCAACATTCAAAAAGATTTCATTCTAACAAACTTGTCATATGAAATTGCTTCAGCAGCATGGCTTTTTCTGTCAAGCCTTTTCAAGTGTTATATATGCGGCCACTTCATTGTGTCTATATAAAAAAAAAATGTCATCACAATTTTAAAGTGGAAATAGATACAACAGATCTCAACATGTATAACTCTTCTCTCTTTTAGGAGGGACAAACCTTGTCCTTAGGTGGGTGGCATCACACATGTACAGATGAACCATCAATTAAGCCGCGTCAAATTTTGTAAAAGAAAAAATAAACATGGAACTTACTCAATCTAAAGAAATAAAAACAGATGAGTGATGAACAATGCATAGAAAAGTAGGCAGTAATCTTGCTGTGACAACTTATAAGTTGAACGTATTGATATAAAAAACATTTGGTCAAGAAACTAATGATGACATGAAAAATGAAGTTCATACCTCACTTTATTTTTAACAAATGTAAAAGAAAGCCAATTTCTCATCCAGGTTGGGTTGAATGCGACAATTTGTACTCCCTTAACCCTAAAACACATGAACTACTCAAGTCTCAATTTGCTGAAAATATTTCACAAGAATTTAGTCGAATAAGTTGATGTAAACAAAGGAATCACATATTATAGATCTTCAACTTTTGCTACAATGCAAAGAAGATTTTCTCAGGTAAAGAGAAACCTAGATGGATAATAAACGACATGAAAATAGTAGTTAAGGAAGTCCATGTTCTACCCAAAAATACTAAGCAAAAATAGAAGAATTTTGCTAACATGTGAACTGGAACAGCCAACCCAACCGATTTTGAAGAGGAAAGAACTGAACTCCTCTTTTGAGAGAAGCGGTGGCCCTTGAATTATGTATTTGATTATTGAAATTCAAAAAATAAGCTATTGATTTTTGGCACTTCAACTTCACACTAAAACGACTAAAGTTTAACCCAATAAATGGCTTAATATCAATTAAAAATGTCTGAAGTTTGGTCCTTACAACTTCCGTGTGTTTGGTCAGGTGCGGAGCCAACATATACTTAGGAGTTCATCCAAACTCTCTTCAGCTAAAAGTATTACTCTTATATATCGTTAACATTATTTTTTACGTATATATAGAAGATGTCGAACCCCTTAGACTAGTTCGTGTGTTAATTTCTCCATATTTTGAACCCTTTTTTTGAAAATCCTGGCCTCGCCACTGTGTTTGGTATGAAGGAAAATGTTTTCTTCAAAAATAAGTTAATTTTTAACTTATTTTCTCATGTTTGGTTGGTAAATAGAAAATATTGTGTTTAATTGGTGAATGAAAAAAACATTTTTCAGAAAATATATTTTCTTTTTTGTTAGGGAGTAGAAAATATTTTTTGGTTTGGTGGGGTGGGGTGAGGTGGGGGGGGGGGGTTCTGGGAATTGGTTTAGAAAATGTTTTCCTTACTTTTTTAAGGAAAGTAATTTTTCTTAAATTTGAGAAAAATAAGTTGATTTGAAAAATATTTCAAAACATTTAAGCCAACCAAATATGAAAAAGTTAGAAAACATTTTTCAGAAAATGTTTTCCTTCGTACCAAACACACTAATAAATTCAAAAAAAAGAATTTATATTATGCCACACAACGAAAAAAAATGCAACAAAAGTTATGATAGCTTGAAATGGATTTGTGAGTCCTTTCGTTTTCTTCTTGTTGTTTATGATTTTGTTATTTTAACTTTTTTTTTTTGTTTTAGAAACATTTACATACATGAGAAAATTCAGTCGTTAATGTCTGAAGTTATCGTCAAGATCACAACTCTCAATAAAAATGTTCAAGTTTGGCCTTGTCTAGGGAATAATTTTAGTATAATTTTTTGAAAAAAAAATTATCTTCATAAGTCATACTAAATTTTTGACAAAAATGTCCAATATTTGATATTCATAGTGCCTGTGGGAATAAAATCTTGGCAGCAACTAATTTGGCAGCCACTTTGTTGAAATTACTTGTCACAAATGTGAAAGTTGATAGCCATATTTGTGAAAGTTGGTGGTCAAAGTTTGGTATAATTTTGGTAGAGTTTGGCAGCCAAATTTTGTGGAATTTGGCTACCACATTTATGTCACCAATGATGTAATCAAGAGGTTCAAAAACTCTATAAATAGAGTAGTAATTGAACACTTGAAGACACACCAAAAATAGAGAAGCAATAGAGAGTAGAGAGAGTAATCCACAAACAATTTCTTAGTTTGTGAGAAAATAGTAGGGGTGTACATGATCGGGTTGGTTCGGGTTTTTCAAATATCAAACCAAACCATTTGTGTAAAAATTTTAAATTTATAAACCAAACCAAACTAACAAAATTTGGATTTTTTCGGGTTTTTCAACCTCGGGTTGGTTCGGGTTTTTCAAATACCAAACCAAATCATTGTGTCAAATTTTTAAATTTAAAAAATCAAACCAAACTAATAAACCTCAGATTTTTTCAGAGTTTTGGATTTGTTTGGTAAAGTTTGCATACAATCATATAATTAACTTGAGCTCCAAATATTTCTTTAGTCCAACTAAAATAC